CGACTGTCGTGTGGTCTCTCATCCAGAATGTCGGGACCGCTGTCCCCTTCCCTGCATTCCTACCCTAATAGGAACGCCTGTCAAGATTGGAGAGGGGATGCTGGCAGATTATGTGGCCCAGACTTCTCCAGTGATCCCCTCCATTGTCGTCCATTGCATAAATGAGATTGAGCAGAGAGGGCTGACTGAGACAGGCCTGTATCGGATCTCTGGCTGTGACCGGACAGTAAAAGAGCTGAAAGAGAAATTCCTCAGAGTGAAAACTGTACCCCTCCTCAGCAAAGTGGATGATATCCACGCTATCTGTAGCCTCCTGAAGGACTTCCTCCGAAATCTCAAAGAACCCCTTCTGACTTTTCGGCTAAACAAGACTTTCATGGAGGCGGCAGGTAAGAGGAGCTCTTACTACTAGAATGTGAGTCCCATAGGGGCAGGAAATTTTGACTGTTCTTGTACCACTCAGTACAATGCCTGCAACATTGTGGGTGCACACATGCTTTGATGGAAGAAGAACTATATCAGTGTTCTTGGTGCCTGTCCTCTTCTTCTCTAAACTATATAAGGTACTGACAGGGGGCCCATGTGAAGGACTGTGGATCTTGTCAGCAAAGGTCTTGTAAAATTTATCTTAAAATTGAAATTTGCCACTCCTACTGCTACCACTCTTGACATCTGTCATCCTGGAGTGGCAAAAGAACTTACTGATTTTCCTCTTTCTATTCTCGGCCCTCTGTATGATCCTCAAACGGTATCCAGAGGGGTCTTTCCAAAATTTAAATTAGATGATGTCTCTTCTGTCCTTAGTTTTCTCCAGTGACTTCCCATTGCTCTCAAAATCAAATCCACAGTCCTTCACATGGCCCCAAAGACTCCACCTGTAGGATTCGGCTCCTGGTTACGTCTCTAGAATCATTTATCTCAACAACCTTCCCTTCTTTCTTCTCCCGATACGCCGGGATGCTTGCAGTTCTTAGCACATAACCAAGCTTACTCCCCTCTTGAGGCCGTTGCATTCGTTATTGTCTCAGCCTGGAATGTATTTGCATGATTTGCTCCTTTATTTCTTTCAGGTTTCTTTGTGGGTATCTTGTCCTCAGAAATACCTTTCCTGACCACCTTGTCCAAAATAACTGCGCCCATTACTTTCTAGCTTCTACTATATAGCACTAACTGATAGATACCTGCTTTTTGACTCACTCCTCCAATAGAATGTGAGTTCCATGAGGCAAGGTCTTTGTTTAATTCTGCTTTACCTGAGCACCTAGAATAGTACCTGGTCCATACTAGGCCCCTGACCATGGTTTATAAACGAACACCTTCTTGGTAATTGTAGTCGCTGCAGTTGTGGGTTGCTAGCTGCTTTCCCTAACTGCAGGAGCCGATTTTTTTTTAAAGGTTCTGATTTCTATTATTGAGCTGTTGGCCAGTGTCCTGCTTGTTAATGAAACTGGAGTTTGATGCAGTCATGAACCTAATCAGAAGTTTCAGAAGCTTACTGTATAGATGAGACTTTGTGGTCGATCACTTGGAAGCACGCTGTCAAGGGAAAGAAGTCTAGGGCTCTTGGTGTTCTCTTTTCATTTGCAGAACTCACAGATGAGGACAACAGCATAGCTGCCATGTACCAGGCTGTTGGTGAACTGCCCCAGGCCAACAGAGACACATTAGCTTTCCTCATGATTCACTTGCAGAGGTGAGTACAGCAGAAACTTGCTTCTGGGAGCTTGGGAATTTGCCAAGGGGAACATAATGCGGGTTGGGTGTTAGGGAGGGAATGTGAAGGGTGAATTGTTTTCTGGTAGATCTTATCTTTTGGTCTGTGTTTAAGCAGAAGAGCAAGTCTTCTAATTGAGTGTTCTCTTGCTTTAGAGTGGCTCAGAGCCCAAACACTAAAATGGATGTGGCCAATCTGGCTAAAGTCTTCGGGCCTACCATAGTTGCCCATGCTGTGCCCAATCCAGATCCAGTGGTAATGTTACAGGACATCAAGCGTCAGCCCAAGGTAGGCAAGTGCACTGTATATGTAAAAAATATATATATAAACCTGTTTGACATGATAACATGAGAGAGTGGTGAGAGGTAGGCCCTAAGCTTTGGAAGTGTGCTAACCTGTTTGGTGGCTGTTTAGGTGGTAGAACGCCTGCTTTCACTGCCCCTGGAATACTGGAGTCAGTTCATGATGGTGGAACAAGAGAACATTGACCCCATGCATGTCATTGAAAACTCAAATGCCTTTTCAACACCACAGACACCAGATATTAAAGGTAAGGCCCGATCTGACTCCCTCTCTGGTTTTGGCCATGTACCCTCTCCCTGCCTTTGCTAGAGCTATTTCGAATTCATATTCTTCAATAAAATTAAGTTTGTTATGAGGATTCTAACATTAAAAGAAAATTTGTACAGTTCTACCATCCTAACTTCTTTTTTCACTTTTATGGAACGTGGTTCTCCTTCTTTTCCTTACACATATGGGTATTTTAGGAATATAATAACAATTCAGATAGAATTTGATCTTATTTCACTTAGCATATTGTGAGAATGTTTTTTGTTCCTATATAATTTTATCATTTTTATGGTTGTAAATAGTAATTTGCTTAACACATTCTATTAGGAATTGATGTTATTTTTGAATTTTCCATAGTTACTAATAGTGCTGATATCAGCATTATATGTATATACCTCTGTTTCCCCTAATACTAAATTCCCAGGAGTGGGAATCGCTGAATTAAAGGGCTTGAACATTTTTATGTTTCACCAACTTGATTTCTTAAAGGCTTTTGCCAATTTGTATTGCCACCAAAAATGTTTGAGTTTGGTTTCTTCCAACTTTACTGGCATTGGAGACTTGACCTCTCATTTTTACAAGATCCTTTTTAAGAAAGACCGTTGTTTTTTCTAATATAGGTAAGAATCAAGTGGTCAAACGTTAGGTTTGTGAATGTTGGAGTTTGAGAATGGCCTAAATCAGGAAGTGAATGTCAGCTATTCATTGAGCAGTTGCCTACATAGTTCAGAAGATAGACTGGTGTGTTACAGACGATGACAAAAATGATCTCTGGGACTTTGCTTGGGTCTCTAACCTTAGCTCTTAAGTGCTTCATAGGGTATTCAGCTGAAAACTGGTCACCCACAAGGGTGCTTTTCTTTTTGCCCTTCCTTTAAAAATATGTCTTAACTTTGATTGAAGTGAGTTTACTGGGGCCTGTGACCACTCCTGAGCATCAGCTTCTCAAGACTCCTTCATCTAGTTCCCTGTCACAGAGAGTGCGCTCCACCCTCACCAAGAACACGCCCAGGTATGTGGAACCGGCTGGCTTGGGAACTAAAAAAGGACTCTTTCCTTAGACCTCTCTTCCCAGCATACCAAAGCTCGTATTGAAGGGAAAATGGAATGAGGCCTTCAGCTAGCAGCTAGCCTTTAAAAGCTAATCTGGAGCCATAAGGACCCCTTTTTGAAAAGGGTCTAAAGGTTTTGTTTCTCCTCTCTCATCTCAGGTGACAAAGAGTAGTTTGCCGAGTAGTTGAGGAGGGTTTCCTGTTTTTAGCTGATAATATCAAGTAATGTTAGAGTTGTTTATTTGCCTTCTTTTCATAGAATACTGTTTTGGTTCATTCTCCGTAGATTTGGGAGCAAAAGCAAGTCTGCCACCAACCTAGGACGACAAGGCAACTTTTTTGCTTCTCCGATGCTCAAGTGAAGTCACATCTCCTGTTACTTGCCCGCATTCCCTGGCTGCAAGGAAGGGCGCACCTGTATTCTCTGCTCTGCAGCCTCCTGTACTCATTACTACTTTTAGCATTCTCCAGGCTTTTCATCAAGTTTAATTGGGCATGGGGGTTTTATTAAAACTATATATATCTCCCTCTCTTTCTCCTCAAGTAATGTCATATCAACACCTTGTGCTGTCGTTGTTGGGAGCTTTTAGATGGGAGATCTTTACAGCGGTAGAAGGGAGAATATGGAATTCATTGTGACTGGGGGCAGGGGGGGGCTGGGGCGGGCGCATCCCTTTGGCTTAAAGCCAAATGCTGCTCATGACTGATCCTTCTCTGGTGTTATTTAGAACGAATTTCCATGAGACAGTGACAGAAGCTGCACCTCTTTGGTTAAGACTGACTTGTCTCAGGGTGGGAGGTGGGAGGGCAGGGTAAAGAAAGGTTGGACAGAGGATTTAGGATGGCTCCTTCTGAGAACTTGGAGGTCCCCTTCCCCCAGTATGAACTCAGCTGTAACGTGGAGCCTTCATAAAAATGGATAGGGTGAGGACAGAACCAGTGATGGGGGTGTGCTTATTAGCTTCGATTCGGATTGATTAGGTGTAATAGTGTTAAGTGGCACAACCTTGTAAAAGTGATACTACAACTTGTATTTATCTCTAATGGGCCTCTGGCTGGACTTTGGTTTGCTTGGGGTCAAAGCCAGTTTGTATTTCAGTTGAATTCGTTCTGATGCTTGACCCTCCTGTCCCCTTGTCCATTGGAGCCCGACTTCTAAAGGTCCTATGCCGTCTATCTGGCGTCCCAGTTCACAATTAAGAGTAGGCTATAAGGGGAGATTGTCAATATTTTGTGGGGCAAGAAAAGCCACAGTCATTTTGTCTTTGCACTTTGGTTGCTAAAATCTTCCTATGGAACATAGCCACATCTAGATAAATAAGAACTTTTTCTTTTATTAAAATTATTTCCAATGTCTACAAAAATGCTTTCTTCTGTAGAATGTTTTTGACCCATAGTCACCTTTGTCTGTAAAACACCTATTTAGAATAATATTTGGAAAAAAGTAAATCGTATTTTCAAAAGTTCTGCGAGGTTGGTTTTCTTGTCCTGGAAGGTAACCTTCAACGCCTTTTTAAAGAAAATATTTTTCCTCAGTGTTTTGGTCCATTGTTCATTTTCATTCTCTCCCATCCCCCAGTGTGGCCCCCACCAGGAGTTTGTTTCTTCGTTTCTCATTCAGTCTCTTTCATTGTCCGAATTGAAGTCCTAGATTTGTCCTTTGACTGTTACCCTCTCATTTGAAGAAACTACTTTAAACAAAAACCAAACTTTTTAAACAAGTCTTCAGGGACCAGAATGGTGCAGTTTAAAAAAAAAAAAAAGACAACTGGCTGGCTGACTGCCTGGAACATCCTTCACTGCTGGAAGTGCCTCTGGAGTGAGCTGGGATGATTAACTGAGGGCACCTGCACTTGGAACTCTGAAGCTGGTGAACAGAATGTATCTGAGATTGAGTGTAAACAGTTGCAGGCTTAATATGTAACCGTGGAGAGGAGGCAACCTACTGGCTTTATTCCCGGGAGGTGGCAGCTCTCAGCAGGGAGATTTTGCCTCAGCAAATTGAAAGAGGACGGGTCCCTTCTCCTCTTACCCCGCTTTACACACACACACACACACACACACACACACACGACTGTTAAGTTTTATTTTATTTTTATTTATTTATTTATTTGAAGAGAGAGACACGGTGAGAGAGGGAACACAAGCAGGGGGAGTGGCAGAGGGAGAAGCAGGCTTCCTGCCGAGCGGGGAGCCCGATGCGGGGCTCGATCCCAGGACCCTGGGATCACGACCTGAGCCGAAGGCAGACGCTTAACGACT